TAGGTAGACATATGTTTAGATTTATCCACATCAATATTATTATTATTGTTATTAAAATTAGAAAAAAAAGGGGTAAACTGGGGATGGTTGACTTTGACTGAATTATTAAGTCAAATTAAATTAATTCTAATAATCAAGATTTTTATACTTGTAAGAAACAAATTTTGAAATTTCCAACTTCTTAATAATATAAATATTATAATTTTTTTTAATTATAAGTGAATTTTTAATTGTTATTATTAGAATTTTCTAAAGAATAAGAATTTAAATTATTCGAGACGGACAATTTTGACTAAAGTACCTTAAATTTATATTAAATGATTAATAGAATAACTCGATAAAAAACAATATAATATTTAAAAATATATATATAACTTTAATTTTGGAAAAAAGAAAAAGACCGAAATTTAAATTTGGATTTGATTTTTGAAAATATTTTGTCGGGGATTCACTTTATTTTAGACACGTGGTCATTGGTTTACAAATCTTTGTTCGGTAGAACATTAATAAAATAGGAATTTAAAGGAAAAAAAAACATAAATATAAATAATAATAAAAGGTTGTAGTTTGGCCGTAACTAACTTTTCTCTCACATGTCTCTCTCTAGATTCGGTGATTTTTGTCGTATTAGAAACTTTATAAACACTTTAAAACAGTAAGTCTAAATTAATGTATTAATTACTTAATTTATTAAAATATTTTAATTAAAAAATACTATAATTGAATTTATTTGTCTAATAAATCTAAATAAAATTAAAATATTAAAAAAAAAATATATATATATATATATAGATATATATATATATATATATATATTTCTTTTTTATTATGAGATTTTGAAGTCAAAATGCATTTGGTCAAACATTGAAATCGTACGTGGACTAGATGTGGTGAAAGTGGGGACCACTAAAGAGGCTTCGTTGGCACCGCCCGCCAATCATGAAAGGGATTGTAAACTTTTCAACGGCTTCATCCGCCTAATCCATTTTGGAGTTGTTAAATTTATTAATAATAATAATAATAACAAATAAATAAATCATTAATTTCATATTTATCTACTTTTAATTAATTTAAATTAATTTAATCAGTTCACACATTTGAATAAATTCAACGGCTTCCCACCAATTTTTAGACCATCTTATTAAATTAAGAGATGAATTTTATATAATAAAGTTATCTTAAAAGGTAATTTAAATTAGAATTGGAAGGTAGTAAAAAATAAAAATTTACCATTTACCTTTTGATTGGAATTAAAAATAATTAGTTAATAATTATAGCGAGCAATAGCATAACGTAAATGTAAAGAAAGCTTAATATTTTTGGAAGATTTTGCTGATTTTATAATTATATATTATTATATTTTTTAAAAGATTATAATTAGTACTTTTTGGATTTTTCGAGGCGAGGGAATGGATCTGGTCCGATTTGTCGAAAGTCTCCGGCCGACAACGAGGAAAAGGATGCTTGCATGTCCCTTGCTAACAATGTTTTTTTTTTTTTTTTTTTTTTTTTTTTTTTTTTTTTTTTTTTTTTTTTTTTT